ATCTCTGCTCCTATAAAAATGGGAGTTGGTGATGATGGTGTGTCTGCCTTGGTGCAATCTATACCGTTCGATCTGGTATCTGAGGCTGGGATTGAGACTTTGTGCCATCATCTGAACAAGAGCACGGATAGCATGGAGGTTTCTCTCGCCAAGCAGATTCTTCGAGAACCCTCTCCACAATTCCTCGCTGCCGGCCCCTACCCTCTCTTTCCTAGCGTCTTTTCCCGGCGACCGCCGGAGTTGAGTTGGGCGAGGGTCCCGTCTCCTGTATAGCTGTATTTGTAGTTAAGGTCTTGATAAATCTGATTTGGTTTGAGCTTTCCCCGGCGTCTCTCCTTCCAGATCTGGCCGTGCAGACCGTCGGAGAGGGAGACATGGCGGCGGTTGCTTCCTTGTCCAAGTTCCTCACTCTCCTGTCTTTCTACTCCCCATGAGAACTATCACCCCAAAACTGAGATGAGCCCATCCCCCGCACGATCGGGCGCGATCCTTCGTTTCCTCTATGCCGCATCATCCTACGGGGAAAGATGGCCGTGTTCGTCCAGGCCAGCGATCCCGGCCACCCGGCAGGAGGTCTAGGTTGCCTTTGCCGATGCATCAAGCTGCGGGCGCTCCGCTGGCGCGGCGTGCCCAATGCAGGTGTACGCCGGGTATTCCCGTGTTTATCCGATGGCAGCGCAATCACCGGCACAGCGCGTCGCATTGTCTTCCTCAACGATTGCCACGGCGCTGCTGTCGTATTCGACCTCCTCACTTCGCCGCTGTGATTCTATCCGCTGGGAGGTACGTGCACATTTATTTCATCCCCAATTTTGCATGCGTATGAGATTTGCTTATTTGATGAACTTCGGTCCTGCAGTAGTTTAATCAGCTCATCTTAGAGATATAGGCTAATCCCTAGCTTAACAATTTATAATTTATCAGGCCAATTACCTGATGGGAGACAACCAGACGGGGAGAACGATTGCTTGAAGAGCCTTAGGCAGTCTGCTCTCACAAGGAAATGCAAAGGTAATTTCACAAGAGAAGTGGTGATGGCGAGGCTCTGCCACTGCAACCTTGTTCGCCTCCTTGCGTACTGCAATGAAGGCGACGAGTGGATATCCACTCATCTATGGCTACATGTTGAACAACATCATGGATCTCTACATATTTGGTACATATACTTGTATATTTTTTTTCTTGCCTATGATCAGAATTTGGATCACAGTAGACAATCAGGTTCTCTTCTATGATTGTTGGTTATTGTTTTCATGTAGTCCAATACATAAGTACAGCTCATAGCTGCATGGTTAGAATTCAGAGAAAATGTACATAAAGTTCCAGATAATAGAATTGCAAACTTGGACAATACCTTTAGAGGAAATTTGTATGCTGGACATGCTTGACCATGTCAAAGATCATGCATGAGTAATTATATCCTCGGGTTATTCGTATTATCTGCAAAGTGAGCTTCAAAATTTTGTAAACTAGCATTTTCAATAGTTCAGAGCTACTACTTCACTGTCAGTATTTAGGTGGATGGTCTCTGTTTTAAATTCATGATACAAGTAATGCACTTCGTCAAGTTTTATTTATCTGTGTCCTTGGTTCCAATAGCTATATAATTTCTTCGCAAGCACCCAAGTACGGCAACTCTATTGCCGTTCATGCCTGGCCTATGCCCTACAGAGAGGAACTAGTATTTGCCTCTTTGTGTCAGAATGTAGTTGTGTCGCATGCCTCTTGTATCATTTTCATCGTTGATAGATGCATTACCAAAATATCATTGCAAAATTTTGTGGTTGCAGTATTTGTCTTGTTAATTTTGCATTCCTCTCTTTTCTCATAAAGTGTTAATTCTGTGTTAGTTATATCTTATGTTTTCTATGTTCATTGCTTCTGTTGACTTCAGATTGTGCATATGTGGAGAAGCATGTATGATTGCCCTCAGGTTTAGAACATAGTGCATAACAAGCCATTCTCCTTGGCAACCGACCTAGAAGTGAGGTCACAATTGACACCCCTTGTCGTCCAACTTCCGGCACCTGAAGTCTCTGTGCGACAAAATTATGCTTGCCATCTGATCACCTTGCCGCATGGTATGTTCATGGGACAGAGAATATGAGATGCAGCTCCCCAATGTTTTCACTTCTCCACTCAAAATTTTCAGGCCACAACCTGAATATTTGTTTCCTTGTTGTCTGTCATCAGCATTTTTCTTTGCAGAAACCTGGTTAAGGAAGTTACCAGTAGTCCAGTACTAATATTTTCGTATGTATGTACTTGTGCACTCACCCCTTTTATATACATATAATGGTTCAAAAAGCATCTTTTACTTTATTTTTTGTTTATTTGCTCAGTACAAAATGTAGTGCAGTCTATGATTTTTTTCCTTGGTCTAAATATACCACAGATCCTCTACAGGCTCCTTATTTTTTTCCTTTGTGTAAATATACTACAGACCGTTTATATATATGCAGTACTGATTGCCTAATGTCCTTCTAGGTGAGAAGATAGATTAAGTTGGAGTTCGAGAGCTAATATTGTTGGCACAAATGTTTTGAGCAAACAACTAAAAGAAGGGTATACTATGCTTTGCAGATGGAAAATGATTCCACGGCCTCATATATGCCTATGGTATATGTAAGGGTGAATTCCATATATGCCACTCAAAACTTGCCCGTACCCTCATCTGCCATTGGAAATTTCCCTCTCCCAAATATGCCATTGAAAATTTGCACCGTGTACAGATATGCCACTATGGCCAGTTTGACCGTTAGTTGACTGTCAAGTGGCATGTGAAAAGACGACTTTGCCCCTGATACTGTAGCGGTGATATACTGTAGCATTCCCAATCTCAAATTGCGGGGCGGACGTACTGTAGCGATGTTATACTGTAGCATACGAACAGATTTGAAATTCGAACAATTTTTTTGAATTTCAAAATAAATCTCCGTAATTTCAAATTCTGAATTCCTAACACTTTTTTTGAAACAATTGTTCGCAATTTTAAAAACTGATTTTTTTTAAAAGTGGACGCTACAGTATGTTTGCCCGCAATTTCAAAAGTGACCAAACTTGTTCGGAATGCTACAGTGTATTGTCGCTACAGTACCAGGGGCAAAATCGTCTTTCCAAGTGCTGCTTGACAGTCAACTAACGGTCAAACTGACCATAGTGGCATATCTGTATGCGGTGCAAATTTTCAGTGGCATATATGGGAGAGGGAAATTTCCAATGGCAGATGGGTATACGGGCAAGTTTTGAGTGGCATATATGGAATTCACCCTATATGTAACTAAGCATGAATCATTTTTTTTTCTCTTCATGGTGCTATTGCATGCAGCATGCTTGTGCATATTTATCACAGTATCCAGTTGAACACTTCTACTTCATTCTTGTTTGTTCTTGAAAGTGTGCTCAAGCAACAGTAAGTATGTTATTTGGATATATTAATTGTGTGGGCTGGAGGTGGAGCCTGTGTTAACCAAAAGCAGATTGGTATTGTAACACTTCCCAAATGTGTGTGGACAGATTTTCTATTTGTCACATGCTCTGTCCCCTCAATTTGGAGAGTAATGAGAAAGCTGGGTGGAGAGAACAACAAATCTTCGCCAAGGTAAAAATGGAGAAGAAAATATTTGGCTTGACAAGGGGGTCATCGATCAAAAACCATAAGTTGCGTACACATCAACAATATAGCATCACTGTGATCAATGTTATGATACATCTTTTTTGTCCACTATATGCTCCTAAGTAAACAATGTCTACTTGATTATTTGTGATTCCGTAGCGTAGCACGGGCATCTTACTAGTGTGGTCAAAATGACATAATCAACAACTTACTCCATTCCTAGATACTCCTTTCATCCGAAAAAGCTTGTCCCAAACTTGTCTCTCAAATGAATGTATCTAGCACTAACTTGGTGCTAGATACATCCATTTGAGGGGCAAGTTTTTCCGGACGGAGAGAGTATAAGTTTTTCTAGAGATTCCAATATAGACTACATACAGAGCAAAACGAGTGAATCTACAGTCTACACTGTAAAATATGTCTATTTACATCCATATGTAAATAATATTAAAATCTCTACAAAGACTTATACTCCCTCCGTTCCAAAATATAGCGCGCCCACGCTTTTCGAGGTTTAACTTTGACCATAAATTTAACCCACGAGACCGACTGCGGCGGGATCAAAAATTATATAATTAAAAACTTTTTTTGAATATGAATTCATTGGTATAATTTTTTCGCCCGCCGCAGTCGGTCTTGTTGATTAAATTAATGGTCAAAGTTGAAGCACGGAAACCGAGGACGCGCTATATTTTGGAACGGAGGGAGTATTTAGGAACGGATGGAGTACCATACAAGTGCATGTCCTGGTCTAGAGTTTGATACGACATGTGGCTATTCATTCTGAAAAATATCCTGCAGCTATCTTCAGCCCTTGAACTAGCCAATCAAATTCCATAAAGTTTATAAGTTCAGCCACAAACATAGAGCAGCAACTAACTATTAAGATTGACACATCTAAACTTTATACGGAAAACAAACAGCTAGTAACACATACTACTATTGCCAAACAGCAGCACATCAGTATAATTTTGCTCAAAAAGAGCCTCACTTGTCAGATATCCTTCCTGCAACTGCAATTTTCAAACAGTTAAACCAAGGACAATTATGACTTTACTGCAAGCATTTTCTAAGATGCAATTCTAAAACAGTTGGACCAACCAGCCCTGCCAAGATTAGTTACAATTGCGAACCCCGAATTGAAGAGCAACATAACAGAGGGATTCAATAACACGAGGGGCACATAAATAACACTAGGAGAATAGTAGCTTGCTGGGTTACAAAGGCAGAGGACACACTACATAGCTTACGATACAACATCATCATCAATTGCAGACATAAGCCTAAGACGCAGTACATCGCCAGGAGGAATCATACACTAATCCATAGCAGACATTAGATAGATAGATAGATAGATAAAGAGAGAGAGATGTTGCTCAGTAGATCAAGCTTCTTCGTCGCTGTCGTGGTGGATGATGTCGTAGTGGTGGTCGGGGAGGTTGGCCCTTGGGTCGTCGTCGTTGAAGACGTCGACCTGGACGAAGGCGTAGCCGAGGCGCTTGAAGTCGGCGAGGACCCTCTCGTTCTCGTCGCGGTCGGCCTTGATGGCGTCCGTGACCTTGCGGAGCCTCTCCGGGAAGTTGGGCAGGGGACGGCGAGGCTTCTTGTCCCACTCGAGCAGCCACTTGATGTAGCTGTTCCGATGGTCCAACTTCACCGTCTTCTGCTTCTTGATAGGATACCCCTCCACATACAGGTCGAACCTCAACCACGGGTGGGATGCCGCACCACCAGCCGCCGCCGCCTTCTTTGCCGCCGCTGCCGCCTTGGCCTTGAGGTACGCGGCCGCCGCCGCCGACATCTCCGCCTTGGCCTTTTCTTTAGGCGCCGCCACCCTCTCCGCCTTGGCCTTGTCCCTGGCGCCCGCCGCCGCCTTCCTAACCCTCTGCGTCCTGACCTCCACCCACTCCCACTCGCCCGATACTTCCTCCATCGCTCCCTCCCAAACCCTTGGCTTTCTTCGCTGGATGCTAGTGGTGGTGGCGGCGGCGGCGGCGGCGGCTGTTCAAAGCGTTGGGACCGAGTCAGAAGGAGACCACGGTCTCGCGTATAAATAGCCTCGCGAACCCTAGAGTTTCTGCATCGGATCGGATCCTGTCGCCGTCTCGGGCTCGGGCTACACCCACGCGCCCGGTCTTTCTTTACTCTCCACTCTTTTTTTTTTTGTTGAGAAAGTTCTTTACTCTCCACTCAAGTTCCCTTGTCGGATGCGGATCCCATTCGCTAACGCATCCGGGTCCATATGATCGAACCTTCTCGAGGGCCCTGGAACTGATTTTGTGCAGGATTGATTGTGGGCCAAGAAACCCACTTTACAGGCTACCAAACCCTTGCTTCAGGATTGTGGGCCAAGAAACCTGGATCCAGCAACTTGGGCCATACCTATTGAAGCATGGCATTTATTGCAAACCAGATTTCCCCCCCTTTATTTTAGGGGGAGGGGATCAAAAGTGGCGGAGAATATCTAGTGCACCGGTGCTTATGGCGCTACCGGTGCACCGAACTTATGTTGCACATTTTAAAATATTCTGAAAATTCAGATAAAATAATTATTATCACATGGACATGGAGACAAAAATCATAGGTTGTCACAAAATTTGAAGTCAAAATTCAAATCATCACTCGAGAAACGAAAATGACAAGTTCAACACTTAATAGTACATAACATAAGTTGGGCTTTAGATTCGCCCCATTATCACATTGATGTCAAATTTGTCATTTTTGCATCTAAAGAAATGTTTCAAATTTTGCTACGAATACTTTTTGACAACATACAATGATGTTGTGTCACTGTTTTATTTTTTCTAGATTTTAAAAAATGTTCTACAACATCCGGTGCACCGGTAGCACCGGATACATTCCCTCAAAAGTGTTGGTTTCCGAATATGGAATGTCTAATGTTTTTTGCCTGGGGAATTAATCGAACTATAGTGAACAGAACGAGCAGGGCTTTCGATGAATCGATCTAATATCGGACAATCTTATTGGCAAGGGCTTCCCTAGATACCCAAAGTTTCATATCTGAAGCAAGTATTCAAGAAACTACTCGAGTTTTAGCAAAAGGTGCCCTACGAGGTCGCATTGATTGGTTGAAAGGCTTGGAAGAAAACGATTGGTCATAATAAGCTTCATGTAAGCCTTTGATGATCATCTTTGGGCATCATGTATAAAAGTCACATGTGAAATGACATCTTTAAAGCTATGAATGAATGTTCAACTAAGATACAAACATAACTCGTCATTCACACGCAAATGGTCAAATTGAAACAATAAAACCAACACTTGAAAATTATCTCATATGCATCCATTATTGAACCAAATAAATGGACTTCTTTGCTCTTCCCTTGTCATACAATTTGTACATTACTAGTTTAGACCACGCGGGGGTTGAAATCTTTTGACTGCAACGACCATGAGGCGGTGCTTCTGTCAGGGCCGGCCCTGGGTAGGGCCAGGAAGTGCGACGGCCTAGGGGCCAGCCTGATTAGGGCCCCGACCTCTGTGTGTATTTTAGTTTAAGTAGATAAAACAGTAGCTGATACAATCCTTAGCCGTCGTTTGTTCTCCCCTCGTCCATTTGTATATAACTAGTTTAGACCACGCAGGGGTTGAAATGTTTTGACTACAAGGACCATGAGGTGGTGCTTCGGTGACAGCAGTTGTACTGTTGCTGCGGTGGCGCTGATGCTGTTTTGCAGCACCACTTTTGCTGCAAGGTAGTCATCATTAGTGCGTGTATAGCGAGCGAGCTGCGGCGGCATGGTCGTCGGCGACGGGGCAACGCTGCTGCAAGGTCGATGGTTGCGTCGTGTGTGCTTTTGAGAAGGCTGAGGAGAGCTGCAAGCACTACAACGAACGACTGCCACTTATGCGCATGGTGGTCGGCATTACCGCTGATGCGCCCCCTATTTGCAACAGGTCTGGTGGTGTTGCTTTGAAACACCGCAATTGCTGCAGAGAGGAGGGACTGCTAGTGCTTTTAGGCAGGGGCACCGCTCACCATGCCGCTGCAAGGCAACGTCTCAAGGGTTCTTCGGGTGGGCGGTGGTATGCATGTGTTGCTATTATGGATCTTGTCGATTGGACGTTGCAACAAGAGACGACAACCGACGATGCTGATGATGAGTCCAAAATGCACGCTTCTCCTGCATCTGACATGATGCGTCAAGTGAGTATTTTGAATGTACTCACAAGCTCACAACAACTATAGCAATCGAGACAAACAAAAGCATGATGCGTCAACTAAGATACAAACATAAATTATCATTCACAGGCAAATGGTCAAATTGAAAGAGTAAAACCAACACGTGAAAATTATCTCATATGCATGACCATTATTGAACCAAATAAATGGACTTCTTGGCTCTTCCCTTGCCATACTATTTGTACATAACTAGTTTAGACCACGCGGGAGTTGAATTTTTTTTACTGCAACGACCATGAGGTGGTGCTTCTGTCAGGGCCTGCCCTGGGTAGGGGTAGGAAGTGCCATAGCCTAGGGCCCATCCTGATTAGGGGCCCCGACCTCTGTGTGTATTTCAGCCAATCGTTCGTTTAATAAGTAGATAAAACAGTAGCTGATACAATCCTTAGCCGCCGTTTGTTCTCCCCTTGTACATTTGTATATAACTAGTTTAGACCACGCGGGGTTGAAATGTTTTGACTACAAGGACCATGAGGCGGTGCTTCTGTGACAGCAGTTGTACGGTTGTTGCGGTGGCGCTGATGCTGTTTTGCAGCACCACTTCTGCTGCAAGGTCGTCGTCACTAATGCATGTATAGCGAGCGAGCTGCGGCGGCATGGTCGTCGGCGACGGGGCAACGCTGCTGCAAGGTCGATGGTTGCGTCGTGTGTGCTTTTGAGAAGGCTGAGGAGAAGTAGTAAATATCTTATATAGCATTATTATCGATTATATGGCCATAGTCTAAATGTACAAAACAATATTATTTTAATTAGTAATCTAAAATATCTTATATTTGTTTTTCTCACAAAAAATATCTTATATTTGTTGACAGGGGGAGTAGTAAATTATCATACCAAAATGTCCCTGCATATATGGCTATAACAAAATCCAAGATAAATATAATCACAAATAATTCAGTTTTTCTACAATTAGATTGCGTGATGGAAATCTAAATCTATATCTCTAAGTTCTCTATTGAGGGTAGAAATAGTACACACCATCCCATTGTATACTTCTGAAACCTTTTTCAAGAAACTAGAACAATGCCCGTGCGTTGCAAACGGGATATAAATTTTCTAGTACGTCGGCTTATGATTTGCTTGTCTATAATAATGCTATTGTGTAAATAAATGATCATCAATTTGTGCCCATGAATCTCTACTCCTAATGTAGTAGTTGGTAGGTCGTCTCGTCACTTCATCCTCCCTCCCCCCCTGGCAGGATCGAAGGCCCCTCCCCCACCGTTTTTTCTAGCGCACTTTCCATATATAATTGATACAAGAAAACATCAATAAACAACCAGCGATACTGTCCATATAATCGATAAAACAAAACATCAATCCCCACCGAGTTTTCCAGCGCATGTTCCATATAATCGATAAAAGAAAACATCAATTACCGATCAACACCAGTCAGTGATACTCTCCATGTAATCGATAAAAGAAAACATCAATCAAACAAGCATATAAAAGATATTGAACAAGCATATAAAAGATACACCACCAATCAGCACTGATCAGCCCCAATCAAGACTTTCCATAGTTCTTTTCATACAAAACTTTCTCCTGGACGAACAATCAAGACTTTCCATGTAAAAAACTTTCTCCTGGACGACACAGTTCAAAATTTTCTTCTGGGCGGACGGCGAGCTCTCGTGTGTGGGATGAGCACAAACAGCAGGAATTTGACCTGCATGTGTTGCTGTTTGTAACCATCAATGATTGGCCTGCTCTCAGTAACCTTTCAGGACAGACAAATAAGGGATACCACGCATGCACGCACAATTTAGATAACACCGAAAGTATATACCTGGACAAATGTAGGAAGAATGTGTACTTGGGGCATCGTCGATTTCTTCCGACCAACCATCAATGTCGAAAGAAAGGGAAGCATTTCAAAGGCGAGGCAGATCACCGGAAGAAGTCCGCCATCCGTACCGATGATCACATACTTGCTATGGTCAATGATTTACAAGTAATCTTTGCAAAGGGTCCCGGCGGACTATCTGTTTTGAATGACGCTGAGGGACGCGCACCCATGTGGAAGAAGAAATCTATATTTTGGGACCTACCCTACTGGAAAGACCTAGAGGTCCGCTCTTCAATCGACGTGATACACGTGACGAAGAACCTTTGCGTGAACCTGCTAGGCTTCTTGGGCGTGTATGGGAAGACAAAAGATACACCGGAGGCACGGGAGGACCAGCAACGTGTGCACGAAAAAGACGGCATGCCTCCAAAGCAGTATGAACGTCCTGCCAGCTACGCTCTTACCAAAGAAGAGAAGGAAA